GTGTATAAACGGTAAAACTCCTAATGGAATAATTACCGATCAAGATAGGGCTATGCAAAATGCAATTGAGATAGTGTTTCCAAATACGAGGCATAGATGGCGTTTGTGGCACATATTAAAGAAGTTGCCTGAAAAGTTTGGGTACCACGTGGATAAGAACTCCATTTTTTCTTCTATACATGGATTAGTCTACGACTCACAGTTCGTTGAAGAGTTCGAGGAAGGTTGGAGAGTGATGATTGATACGTATAAGTTATATGATCATGAATGGTTGTCCGGGTTGTATGAGAACAGGGGTCGATGGGTGCCATGTTATTTGAAAAATAGTTTCTGGGCAGGGATGTCAACGACTCAACGAAGTGAGAGTACGAATGCGTTCTTCGATGAGTATGTACATTCTAAGACATCGTTGAAGCAATTCGTTGAACAGTATGAACGAGCATTGAGAAATAAGGTTGAGAAGGAGTTTCAAGCAGATTTCAAGTCTTATTCACAGATGGTACTGTGTGCAACGAAATATGAAATGGAAAAGCAATTCCAAGCAGTTTATACCATATCCAAGTTTCGAGAATTTCAGGATGAGATTACCGGTAAGGTTTACTGCGATGTTATATCTGCATCAGATGGATGTTTTGGGAGGACGTACCAGGTCGAGGAAGATGTCATTTACGATTGAAAAGTGAGGAAGAAAAATTTTTATGTGGTGTTCCGTGCAGAGGAGTGCAATATTATTTGTAGTTGTCATCTCTTTGAGTTTCCGGGTATTTTGTACAGACATGTCGTATCGGTGTTGATGCGTAATGAAGTCACATCACTACTGGATACGTACATATTGAGAAAATGGAGGAGAGATGTTTGTAGAGCCCACACAAGGGTTGCCGTGAACTATGATGGTTTGGTTAGTAGTCCTGGACAGTTGACGTATGACAGAATGTGTGCAGAATTTGCTACGTTGGCAGATATTGTCGCCGAAGATAAGGATCGATCACGTGCGATAGTTGATTGGATTCGGTAGCAATCTAAAGAGCTAATGTCTACGAAGTTGGTTTGTGAGAGTAATACCATTTCCCTACCGAGTTTGCATTTAGGATCTCAATCTAGAGTATCGCAGGATACAGGAGAAGGAAGTATACAGGATCCTCAGTGCTCGAAAAGTAAAGGGGCGCCAAAGAAATCTCGTAACAAAAGCCCATTGGAGTTACATTCTAAGAAATCTACGGTATTATGTTCTTTTTTTTTTTTTTGCCTTGATTATCCAAACATATAGAGAATATAAATTAACGTGCGATAGTGCAGACTCCTAGACCAAGATCAAGAAAAACAAATGTTGGCCAACAGAGTAGTGTCCATCAGACAGCCTAGCATGCAGTATACTCCTTACCCACACCCTTGCCATATTCACAACTGATATTTGTAAGTAAATAGATTAATTCGTTAAATTTAAAGGCCTCATTATTTGATAACATATTCATTTCACATATTTTGGACTGATTCCTCTTGCAGCCATTCCAACCACTGCTATCACCCCCTCAAAGTGTCGTACCAGGCCAGTCCATTCCACAGGGTACTATTGTTGCAGGTCCTTCCGCTCACGTTCATACTCCAACATCTGGAACGACTTCTCAAGCAGCTGTTTTTGAAATGGATGGTCAACAACATGGTTCTTCAATAAACCCATTTTTCAATCCTATCAATGAACGTCAATGAGCCTGTGTATTCAGTAACGAAAAAACATAATGTTCGTATTGATTTGCAGCTAGAAGTTATGTTTATTTGAGATTGTAATGACTTATTGATGACGT